ACTCATGGATGAATGAAGCAGAGAAAAGCTTGACTGTCCAATTGGCCAAAGTGCCCCCAAGGTAAAAGTAATGGTCATGTCAAATAGGGGTTTATCCTTAGGAGCAATAATACTCAAGTTTCCCCCATGTCCTAGATTTGCCCCCTCATTCATTGAATTTAAATCCACATGTCTCGTGTGTAAGTCCACTTCAACATCATATCTTGGTGAGCTTATAAAAGCATGTTGAGGCCACCTTCTAGATGGTGGATGCATTGCTCCAAAGAGTAAGAAAACATAGGGAGACTATAATGCCTGATTTTTGATTTTTTTTTTTGAAGTAGTTTATGATACCTACCTGCAAACAAAAAGAAAAATAAACAAAGTCAGACTAATGTTAGAAGTCATCCCATAATTTTGCATGATTTAGTGCTTCAACAGTTGCTATATGGATTCACACATTGTCGATTTCCAATCCTTAAGAAGCCTCGGATGAAGCAAAATATCTTTGAATGCCTTGAGATTTCCATAGACTCCAAGGGCTATAGAAAAGACACTTATAAGCAGTTCAACATGCATTACAAAGATGGTCATTCATTACAAAGTAAAAGCCTAGTACATCACACTAAGTACCTCAACATGGTAGCATTCAAGTCCCTAGTAAAATCTGACTCCTAGATCTCTCAAAGTATGATTGTTCAATGAGTAGTTGCATTCCTTTCCTTGGAGAATCCCTTCATTGCTAGAGCCATATAAAGTGCGATGTGCTTGAGCTTTTGATCTTCGAGGTTGCTCTTGGTTCTTGTCCTTTTGAGCTTGCCCCTAGACTTGGCAATTGTGAATGATATGAGAGAAATGCTTGCAATTGGAGATCTCACCAATCCTTTGTTGGTCAAAGCTTTCTCCACGGATGAATATTTCAAAAGGTGTCTTGATTGACAAAGAATCGCGCTTGACCATGTATGAACCCATATTTCAATTGTTGAAGGCAGAGAATCAAGCAAGATTATGGGAATGCAAGAAAAGAAATAAACATGGATGCTAAACAACAGATGAAGGATGAGAGAACATGAATATGCTCTAAAGTGATAATGTGTGTGGAGTTGTATCCTAAAGCATGCATTTTTCGGAATGCACGAAAAGAAATAACCATGAATGGGAAATGAGTGATAAAGGATGCAAGAATATAAATATGCTGACAAGTGATAAGGTGTGTGAAATTGTATACTAAAACATGAATTTTCTTCAAGTATGCAAATTTCAAAGGAGCAGCTGGTGATTCACTATTGCAAACACTAAATTGGCATTCATGGGAAATATCATTTGAAAAGAAAGCAAATGCCATGAAGC